ACTATAGAACTCTGTAATTTATTTTATTTTTAAATATAATATTTTTAATCTTTTTAACCTGTACTATATATATATTAATATAAAATAATATTAATATTAAATAAAAAACTAAAAATACCTATTGTAGCGGGGATTCCTGTCTCAACATCAGTATCTCAGAGTTATGTAATTAGGGCCTTAGCAGCAAGGCCACTGTTTAGTTTCAGGAGGATAAATAGTTTCGTTCTATAGTATCAATTCAACATATATGTTCCCCTTTATAGAAATATTCTACTAAGGCTGCTGAGGTTACAGTATCGATATACCGTTTATGAAAGGTTCTGTTATTCGTTCTTTTAATCCTCTATAGCGTTACGCTTTACCTATCGTCTTTCTGCACTCTGCGAGTGTGGTAGTGTTATCTCTTCGCGATCAACCCGTCTGCTTGACAGACTGCCAGCGAGCATTCCCATCTTACACTATATATGAGGCCTAAAAACAGGCTTAAAACAGACCATATTTAAAGCTTAGTATATTTGTCCTGTTTATACTTAAATAGGGACCCAGTGGGTTCCCATATAGGTTTTGGGTTAAGGGCCTCAACCCTAAACCCATCAATAGGTTATAGAATTAGACCTAAAACCTATTTTGGGCTGGGTTGGGTTAGGTTAACACAGGTTCTGGCGATGTCTACTAGTATAGAATACTATTAATTAAAAGAGAGAGATAATTAAAATATTATTTCTATTGCCACCTATATATTTTAAAACGAAACGCGCTCTTTATTCTTATGCTTCGACTCATCCCGACTTATTTTGCCAGCCTGACCCTCCGAACTTGAGAATTTCTAGGAAAGATATAAAACCATTATAGGCTCATTGCAGACTGTCATTCAACTCTGATAATGAGGATTGTATAATAACCGGAATTGTCGCTATATAGGTTTGGAGCCGCTGTGAACCTGGATAGCGCAATGGCTCGCCGTGGTTTGCAGTCTATGCCGTCAGATATATGCATTGAATTCTTTAGGTGGGCATAGAGCTGTATCATATCGTACTCCGTTTGTTGACTACGTCATGTCAGAAACGCACAGAATGCCCAGTTTCACGTAAAAAAACCACACACAGACATACACACACGCACAAAAGATGTAACATCGATTCCGCCGTTTCGATAATCCATAGTTCTGAATTCAGATCCGTCACAAGTTACCTCACGACGCCTTCACGTGGACCACGACCTTTCCTCTCGCTCTACCCATTTTCAGCCTCTCAAACGCTTTTGGCGTGGCATTGAAGTCGAAAGTCGAGTCAATGACGGCACGTATCTTTCCTTCTTCCATCCACGCCGCGAGCTGGTCGAAGTCGGCGCTATTAGCCTTTGCCATGACAAATAGGTACTTTGTTTTTCCGCCTCCAAGAAAGCCAGGGAGCATCAAGTTGCCGATGAGCTGTTTCATGGCGCTCAGACTCATTCCCATGCCGACTTGGATGAACTTGCCGCCTGGTACAATGAATGCGTGCGACACTCTGTACAAGTTGGACGGGGATCCTACATTGTCGAGGATCAGATCGAAAATTTGCCCCTTCTCATTTAATTGCTCGATTATTCCGGCCGATTGGTAGTCCAAAACCTCATCCGCGCCTAGACTCTTGCACAGTCCAACATTGGCTGCGGAGCAAGACGTCGTGACGTGACATCCAAGCGCCTTCGCAATTTGTATAGACACTACACCGGTGCCTCCAGATCCACCATTGATAAATACTTTATCGCCTGCTTTGACATGTGGTTTTAAGCCTTGGTATGTTGTCATCCCAACGGTAGCGATGGAAACCATGTCGTCGGCTTTGAACCCATCCGGTACCAACGCAAGTGCATCTTTTGAGACAGGAACAAATTGGGCAAGAGCTCCATGCCCGAAAACCCCATTGCATGAGCCGTATACGATATCGCCAATGCGAAAGGAACCCACCTGACTACCGATCTCAACAACACGACCACAGACATCCAAGCCAGGCGTAACAGGTGACCGGAATATCATCTTTGTAAGGAGGCCAAGTTCAAGAATCTTGTAGTCAATGGGATTGAGCGCCGTGCTGTAGACCTCAACAAGTACCTCGTTGGCTGTGGTTTTCGGTTTGGGAATTCCTGAATCGGGCAGGAAAAGGTTCTTCTCGACTGGGCCGCCTGAAGACCGAAATTGCCATGCTTTCATTGTCGCCATCGTGGGTTACGAGGAATTTCGAAAAGATTGCAATAGTAGCAAGATAGGAAATCCAGAACGCAGAGGTTGGTTGCCTTACCTGGTATTTCTCAGATCCATCGTCGCGATATATATACCCACAGTAACTTAGCACCACTCGGAACGTCAAGGCGATCGCTCCCCACCGATCCCGAGATTGGTCATCTCATACAATAGGCGGTATGATGAACCGGCTGTTCCGCGGTTTGGTGATGTGGCCTGTATATAGAAGTGGCTAGAATAAGATGCCTATATTTATAAGCAGATTCATAAGAACCAGAGATGCCAAAGAGGCGGAAAATCCGCGAGATGAAGAGGTGACTCTACAACAATACATAATTTAAATAACTAGTCATATCTTAATCGACTTACTTTGAATGTTCAATCAAACCTCACCAATTTGACTTTGTACTTTCCTACCTCATCTTTTCATCTTTTTAGGCAGCAGCGCGCCCCTCGCGCGTGTTCCAGTGCGAAAGACAATAATACCTGTATTAAGAGGGATTTTCGGATAAACTCCTAATATGCGGAAATGCAAAATTCACCGACGAAGTTTTCTTCTCCTAGCTCGAAAGGTAAATTATGCCTTTGGTCTCAACGCCCAACGTCCGATGACCGTGCTGGGAAATGTGAGAGACGTAGATCTGTATCGTTGTAGTAGCCGCCTTGGCACATCGGAGGCCGAACCCCAGTGAAGAAATAGCGCAACGGTCCTTCTTTTTTTTCTGGCCCAACATGTTCACTTAGGGAGCATGTAATTTCGGGTTTTGGACGGGTTTAAGCGGATTCTGGCTCTGCTTACTCGGAGGAAAACTGAAATTCGCTTGGCAAGCTGCACTCGTCAGCCTAGCCATATCTTTAAATTGGCGGGGTATCCTATTCGGCTAGATTATATGTCGATCGGTAGGTTGCAAAACCAGGGCACGGTGAATGACTCGGTCCATCGGTCGTTCGGTCTGCCTCCGGCCCGTGGTGCCACTGTTAGATGGGCGGGGTGGGGCATATTGTTAATCTTCGAAGATTATCCTCACACTAACAAATGCAGTGACTCGGGCGCACTGCCAAAAGAGTAATGTCCGCAAGGATTATAAAGCGGAAATTATTTCCTGAACCTGCGGCATACTCTCGCACTATCACTCCTTGACATTCGCCTACACTCGGTCTTTCAGCCAAGATGTCCATCACAGACCTCGTTATAGTCGTCGCCGGAGCCTCTAAAGGAATTGGCAAAGCCATCGCACTGTGTGCTGCAAAGGACGGTGCGTCAGTGGTGATCAACTATTTGACTGATTCTTTGGCGGCAGAGGCTCTTGTGACACAAATTGGCAATGAACGTGCACTTGCAGTGCAGGCGGATATTTCCAAGTCATCAGAAATTATCCGTCTGGTCAAGGAAACTGTGGCACGATTCGGCAGGATTGACGTGCTTATTCCAAACGCCGCCTTCGTACCCATAGGCGGCTTGCGAGGTATCACAGATGAAGACTTCGATCGGGCATTTGCCGTGAACGTTAAGGGACCGTGTTTTCTTGCGAAGGTGGATAGATCTTTTTCCCTTTTAAAGAGGAGTAGATTTTGATTAATTTTTAACAGGAAGCTGTCCCGTACATGAAACCGGGCAGCACTATCATCTTCATCTCTACCGACCTTGCAGACTCTGGTTCCGCGCCTCCAGAACTTCTACTTTATGTGTCTACGAAAGCTGCTTTGAATCAGATGACACGAATAATGGCCAAGGATCTTGCCACGCAGGGCATTCGGGTCAATGCTATTTCTCCTGGGGCAACCAGGACCGAGCTCTTCAATAAGACCAATAGTGTGGACACCATACAAAAGATTGCAAGCCACAATCCTTTCAAGCGGATTGCGGACCCAGATGAGATTGCTGGAGCGGTGAGTCTGTTGTGGAAGGATGAGAGCAGGTGGATTACTGGGCAGGTGGTGAAGGCGAATGGAGGTTCGGCATGATTAACCCAACCCCCATTGTCAGACATGAGCTTTTCGGGTCACTGGGCGAAAAATCTACGATATTAGTTTGCGTTTATTGCTAGAGAAAATGTATTCTGAGAATCACTTTTAACCAATGTTGTGTGGCCTAGGAACGATACTACTCTTAATTTTTGTCCTCTTCGTACGTTGTCCGTTACCGATAATCCATAATCCATCAACCTACGTGTTATTATCAGCCAACCACAGCTGAGGAATCTCAATCAATGGCAGTAAATCAGCAGTTCCCTGTGTTAGCATATCAGCACGGCAAGCAATTAAGCATTTATTCCAACAACTCGGGACAGCTGAACGTCCACAACGTCCTGCTTGTTTGGTCTGCATACTGCAATAATTCGGGAACGATGCGGCAGATCAATTGACCACCAAATTTGTGGGCTTGTGAGGCGGACTAGAAGGAGGGGCGCATCGGTGGTCGGTGCTCGGCGCTCTGAAATCCCGACATGCGGCACTGTCAAGTTAGCCAGGTGTGGGGCCTGTAATGATATGATCTTCAAGAACATGTCTCGGCGTCATGGAAATATGCCCAGGAGAGGTTACAGCCGATAGGGTGCAATCGGCGCGGAGTCTGCTTATACGCTCATTATTTCAAATCTTTTGCAGCTTGTCGTCGCTGATTTTGTCATTTTATCTCCGCTCGGACTTAATTAAAAGCCAGATTGCTCAATCTCCGTACTCAACGAATATTCTCGTTTGTAGCTCCTACAAATACTACACCACCCCTGCATTTGTGCATTATAATAATCCCGTGTCTGCTCCTGCAAAGTATAACATGGCCTTTCCGTACAAGAAAATCATCATCCTGGGGGCCACGTCCGGTAAGTGGAGGTTTTTATTGCAGAAACCGGTGCTTAGCTCTCTGGAAAGCAAGCTCATCCGATACTCTAATAGCTAACTTATTCTGAAGGAATCGGTCACAAGCTGGCGGAACGATTAATCCAGAATGGCAGTTTTGTTATTGCGGTTGGTCGTCGGAAGGAAAATCTTGATTTGTTTGTGCAGAAGCATGGCCCCGCCAGGGCCGCGGGTATCCAGTTTGATGTATGCAATCTGGATGAAGTCCAGCAGTTCGTGGTCGAGTAAGCCTATTTGATTTGTGAACCTTTGAGTAGTATGAGTTATTTTGCATTAGATGCTGACCAGAGGAAATTCGAGCTTGCCAGTGTCACCGCTTCTCACCCGGACTTGGACTGCGTCTTCCTGAACTCTGGCATTCAGCGACGATCTATATTCAGCGAACCTGAAACTGTCGGGATATATCCTCCCGTCAGAATAAGCAAAGACATGTTGTACGTAATCTTGCTAAGCTGCGGCTCCCACCGCATGGATTCAGGGGTATTTGGCCTTGACGGGAGACACATCTATCATATACACGAATCAATCAACCTTTGCTTTAGAAGCATAAACTGTTCACTTAACTGTGTACACAGGACCTAGCTGGTGATACCAACACTGATCAGTGGTTGATTGCAACCACAGAACAGCTCGGTTTACACGACCTGGAAGAGGCATTGACCGCAAGGGAACGGGGAAACGGTTGCAGTACCCTCATTGCGGAAGGTGTGCTAAAGGATATCAAAGTATCTCACTGGGAAACGGATGCAGTATCTTTGAGACACGGAGGATTTCCAAAAGATCTACAGTTGAAACCGCAACGAAGATCTGCGTCCATCACGCGAACAAGGCGTTAACGGGAAACACTTGCAGTACCGTCACGACACGCAACCTAACACTCAATTCGTTGATCCATTCCACCCACTGTTACCCTCGCCTGAACAGCCATGCTGCCAATCCCGGACAACCTCCCGTATCCCATCGAGGAGAAGACATGGGGGAAATCCGTCGATACACTGGATGAAAAGAACCAAACGGAAGGAATACTAAACGGCCATATAACTTGTGTACTACGGGCATGGAACATGATGCGCATTACCGACCGTGCCCTATGGAACGATTTTCGCGAAGAATTCGATGGATGGACTCTGGACACATTGAAGGTGGCAAGCAAAACCGCATTAAAGATGCTTCGACTTCATTTGACAACCAATGGAGTATGGATCAAGATAGCTATAGGGGTATCATACGCGAAGGGATTGTATGACTGTCTCCAGGAGGACACTCAACACGAATGGACTAAAGAAGACATCGAGGCCCATCTGAAAGAGCACCCAGATAACTTCAACTCCAGATGGAACCCTGCACGCGGCCAATCATCGACTATCCACCTAAATGCCCCAGCAGCACGAGCTATTTCGGTAAACCCACCAGATCTCCAAACCCCACAACCTAGTATTGCGAAACCACACGTCGAGCGAACCGACCATGGATGGGAAGAAGCCAGATCCACAACGCTCGACACAGCCTATACGGGCAGCCACATACAGCAACAACCTAGTTACGACAGAGCCCAACAAAATACCCAAGATATGCCGCTACCGAGAATGGTCGAAGCAATCACGAGGCAATATAGTAATACGGACGACAAGTACGGTGGAGGACTGTATGACGACCTCAACACGAAATTGGTCAGGTTCTACGACATCTGTGAAAAGATCGGCCTACGGGAACATCAATTCCATATTGCGTTCTCGCTTATGCTCAAAGGGAAAGCAGAGAAGTTTTATTTCACAAGGATCAAGGGGAAGGCAAAAGATTTTCCGACAATGGTAGAGATGATGAGGGCCCACTTTGACACAGAAGAAAACCGTCAAAGATCTATCACTGAATGGAGAGAGGCCACCTTTCCGAGAATAATTGCACAGAATCCGGAGAAGTCGCGCTCGGAATGCCTCGAGATACTGTTCGAAACACTCGAGAAGATCCAGCCAGGATTGCCCCCAGAACACCGGTCGGAGACGACCCTACGGGAACAAACTATAAATGCCTGCAGAGGTGTCGAGGAATGCAAATTCTCTATATATAGGCCGGCGAGCACCTTGGAAGGAGTACAAGCTGAACTGCGATCAGCAGTTGCCAATGCGACTCTTTCATCACAGTCGGGGCAATTTCAAGCTCATGAGGAGTACGACGTGCATGATCAACATTGGACTGACCGCACATACGGAGGGAGAGGTCGCGGGTACAGCCGTGGAGGTTACAACCAGCGCAGAGGAAGCTATGGATACGGGAGCAACCGTGAACTCACTCCCTTTCGTGGATCAGGACCGCGAGGAGGCTACCGCGGAAGTCCACGGGGCAATCAAGGATCCCGCCAAGGGAGATGCCATGTCTGTGGACGACCAGGATGCTGGTCGAAGTATCATACCGGAGAAGAACGAAAACGATCCCTCGACAATTTCCGCCAGCAACACTACTTCACGACGGGCCAGACAGCCACCCCACAGGACTTCCAAATGTTCATCAGCGACTTTGAAGGCACGGAGAAGATCGAAGGGCTAGACGACAGCGATAGTCATGACCCTACCCAGATGCTTGCAACTATAACTATTGAGGATGATGAGCACGAGGGGTTCGTGACTGAACTCGGAGAAGTCGATGGAACAAGAATGATATCCATCCTGAACGATCAGGCAGTATACCACTTCTTCACCAAGGACGACATTTTTCAGCAGCGACAAGCCGACGGGCAGGCTATGGAAGTGTTCACACTCGATAACCGATATTCATCCGACACGTTCCAAGGCATCATGCCAGACACTGGAGCCTCTGGGGTTTCGTCCGCTGGAGAACCTCAATTCAGGGCATTATGCAAGCTTGACCCCAAAGTCAAGCTCAATACATTTCGGGCTGCGGAACAGAAGATCAAATTCGGAGACGGGGATCCAAAACCCTCTTTAGGGACTGCTGATGTCGATACCCCGATTGGCACCATTACGTTTCATATCCTACCCACGAACACACCATTCCTCTTCTGCCTCAAGGACATGGATGCTATGGGGGTGGAGCTCCGAAACAAGAAAAACGTGCTCGAGAGAGGAGACAAGAGAGTACCCATCGTACGTAAATGGGGACACCCATGGATGTTGCTGCACAATCTAGAGGAGATAGCAGCATGGAGCCACCTTACCGAAACGGAACTACGACAACTCCACCGACGTTTCGGACACCCATCAGTGCGGAGATTAACTCGAATCCTTCAACGCGCTGGGCACGACGTAAATTCACAGTGCGTGGACTATCTCACGAAATTCTGCCACCATTGCCAGATGAAAGGTAAATCCCCAGGACGATTCAAGTTTACCCTGAAAGATGACTATGAATTCAACTACTCAGTTATCGTCGACGTCTTATACCTCGAAGGAAAACCCGTTTTACAAGTCATCGATGCAGCCACATCGTTTGGCGCTGCGAGATTTCTGAGAGATATGTCTGCACGCAATTCTTGGGACACACTTCGTGCATGCTGGATCGATACCTACCAGGGACCACCGGACTATGTTGTACACGACGCGGGGACGAACTTCATATCTACAGAGTTCAAGCAGCTTGCATCTTCAATGTCGATCAAGGTCAAGGAGGTCCCCGCTGGAAGCCCACAACAGCGTGGGGAAAGTGGAACGATACCATGCACCACTGCGCCGCGCCTACGAAATTCTCAGGAAGAGCTCAAGGACGAGAATATTGACAGGGAAATGATTCTGCAGATGGCTGTGAAAGCTGTCAACGACTCAGCCGGACCGGATGGAATTATTCCAACATTGCTTGTCTTTGGGGCATACCCGAGAATGACCGAAATGGATCCACCATCACCCTCGGTAGTCAAGAGAGCTGAGGCTATCCGTGCTGCAACCAAAGAGGTCCGTCGCCTACATGCGGAACGCCAGGTGAATGATGCTCTTGCCATCCGCAACGGGCCCAATATCATCACTACGTTGAACCTACCATTACAATCAGATGTTCGAGTCTGGCGCGAGAAAGGTGGATGGAAGGGCCCATACAAGCTCTTAGCGGTGAATGGAGAGACTTGCACCGTTGATATGCCACACGGTCCTACGAATTTCCGGTCAACCATTGTCAAGCCCTACTACAGGGAAGAGTGCCCAGAGGCGGAAAGAGGACAACGACATGTGAGGGAAGACGGTGACCAAGAGGATAAAACCGTTGATGCGAAAAACACGGAAGAGCCCGACAAACCGACTGAGACCCAACGGCGAGGCCGAGGACGACCGCCAGGATCGAAGAACAAGCCGAAGCCGCAGGTAACCGTGCGGCGGAGCACTCGACAGAATGCTGCTAATCCTCAAGATCTCGAGGATCAGTTCATCAATACTATCCTGGAAGAACAGGATGTCTCAATGGCGCTCATGACAAACAAGGAACGAGCCGACATGGAACTGTCTATCAAGTTGAGGAGCGAAGGGGTCATCACGACCCCAGGATTACCATTCGATCAATCTCGGAACGAGGAGATTGATGGACTGATAGCGAGAGGCGTGTTCGACTTCGTACAATACAACCCAATCAAGCACGCTGGCATACGCATCTTCAATTCGCGCCTAGTCAACGAGATCAAGGGCAAGGCTACGGGTGCGCCCTTCGAGAAGTCACGACTTGTTATCCAGGCCTACAATGATGAAGGAAAGGGGATGATTCTCACGCAATCCCCAACCATCCAGCGAGCCAGCCAACGAGTTATCGTTGCACTGGCCCCGTCACTGAGAGAGAAGGGCATCAGTCTGTCGATCCGGGACATTACACAGGCATATGTCCAGTCAACGACCTCATTGAACCGACTGATTCTGGCACATCTCCCTAAGGAGACCAAGAGCGAGTTCCCGACAGGCACAATCATGGTAGTGCGGAAGCCGTTATACGGAATCCCTGAAGCCGGAACCCATTGGTGGGCAACGTACCACAAGCACCACCGGGAAAGGCTCGGGATGGTCACATCTACTTACGACCCATGCTTGTTGATCTCAACAGCGAAAGGAGCTTTCGGTGTTGTCGGAATGCAAACCGATGACACTCTGATTTTAGGGTCCGACGAGTTTGCCAAGCTTGAAGAAAAGGAATTAGTGGAGGCAAAGTTCAGCGCTAAGCCCAAGGATACACTATCTCCAGAGGGCCCGCTGATATTCAATGGCTGCGTCCTGACACAAAATGATGGAGACGTTGCCGTTGAGTTACGCCAGAAGGAGCAGGGTAAGAGACTCAAGCCCATCGACCACAAATCTACGGATTTCAAGCACGTATACATGGAACAACGTGCTCGCGGGGCGTACATTGCAACGATCTGCCAGCCGGAAGCTGCATTCGACCTATCCGTTGCCGCCCAACACCAGGATCCTACGGAAGCCGACGTCAACGCGTTGAACAAACGCATCATGTGGCAAATGAAGAACCTGGACAGGGGCATCAAATACATCGCGATAGACCTATCAACTGCGAAGCTCTTCGTATTCGTCGATGGATCATTCGCAAACAACAAAGATTTCAGCTCCCAGATCGGATATGAGATCATCCTCGCAAACGAGTCCACAAAGAATGAGGAATTTGAGATCACCGGAAACTTAATCCATTGGAGCTCAACCAAGAGCAAACGCGTCACCAGGAGCGTCCTGGCATCGGAGATCTATGGGATGGTGGGAGGTGTCGACATGGCAATTGCAATCGGCACAACAATCAAGATGATCATGGACCAACTTGGTTTTGAGAAGATCCCTACCATTGTATGCACGGATTCATACTCTCTCTACGAATGCCTCGTCAAACTCGGAACCACCAAGGAGAAGCGCCTCATGATCGACATCATGGCACTTCGCCAGTCATACGAGCGAAGAGAGATAATGGAAATAAGGTGGATCAACGGGAGCGACAACCCAGCGGATGCAATGACCAAAGCAGACCCCAACAAGGCCTTGGAGAAGTTCATCAGCACAAACACCTTACGAGTGCGAGTTGAGGGATGGGTGGAGAGACAATAGGATGCTATCGTGAGACCTACAGATGCAAGGAAGGTACAGTATGATCGAAGTCGTTTTTGTTCGTTCGCTTTTGCTCGTTCGCTTTATTCGTTTTGTTCGTTCGTTCATTTCCTACTGGGGACACTGGGCCTTTGCACAAAAGAAAAGTTGCCAGTGTCGGGATATATCCTCCCGTCAGAATAAGCAAAGACATGTTGTACGTAATCTTGCTAAGCTGCGGCTCCCACCGCATGGATTCAGGGGTATTTGGCCTTGACGGGAGACACATCTATCATATACACGAATCAATCAACCTTTGCTTTAGAAGCATAAACTGTTCACTTAACTGTGTACACAGGACCTAGCTGGTGATACCAACAGAAACGATTGACATCGATCGCATTCAGGAGGAACTTACGGTGAGCAGACAAATAGGCCTATCTCTCTGCCGCCGTCTACCACAGACTGATATAAATTCGGCTTGCCTAGGTCAACTACACCTCCTACCTTGCTCTGACGAAGGGGTTTCTCCCTTTCTTTCAAGAAAAGTCGGATATGCCTACATCTTTTATCTTGTAAGTGCACGCGCGAGACTAAGAAAGAGAACCATACTCGCGCAGCATATATTATATTTGTTTCACTACTGACAGATTGGTGTCTCATCTTGCAGTACATCATCAAACCTCGCCCTGGTCCCGATACTTCGGTGCTCTAACTATTGTGCCAGCAAGGCAGCCCTTCACCACTGGATTCTTTGTTTACGGGAACAGCTGAAGGAAACTAGGGTCAAAGTGGTTGAGATATTTCCTCCTTTGGTGGAAAGTAAGGCCTCCTTCATACCTTTCTTTTCTACTAATGGCTATTATTTTCCCTTTACTCTGCCCACAAATTCGCTGATACTGTTTTTATAGCCGAACTTCATGACGCTAACCACCAACCCGACATGACCAAAAACCGACCGGAGGGGATTTCTGTGGACGAGTTCGCAGATGAGGTAAGCAAGCCCCTTGGTTTTCTTTCGTCTAAATTCAAGCGAGACTCCTATTTTACCTGGAAACTTTGATTTCCGTGCTATCGGTATATTGTTGACTGATTCAATACTATTCGCTGCGTATAGACCATGCAGAAGCTCATCGCCGGCGACGACCAGATCCCAGTCGGTTTTTCGAAAATTGCATTCAATGGCTGGGAGCAGCAGCGGCAACAGGCATTTGGGAGGGTTGTGGAGATGATGAGGAATAGCGGTAATTGATGATCTACAGTTGCAGTAATATGTGAGTCTTTCTTGACTCTGATTTACTAAGCAAATGTACTACTCTACTCCGTGTTATCTTTAAAATCACAATGTAAGACTTCATATTCTTTGGGGTTTACAGACCCAATCAATTTTACTAAAGCGCTTTCTGCGCCATGCCTAGCCCGCTTGGGATTTGCTTTGATGTCGCGGAGGGCAGATTGGACGAGGAATTAGGCAAGCTAGCGCCGATGTATCGCACTTGGCCGCTGTCCACAACGTCATTCAGTGCCTTCATTATCTCCACTTTTGGATCTGTGGCACGTCAACGTAGGTCCCTAGCCGACGGACACTGAATTCAACCGCGGCAAGAAATGCTTCCAAGACGGTCCCACTCGACTGACCCGGTCTTTTACGTCGTCATAAATTGTTGCTCGAAAACAGTCATGTTATACCCACCCACACATAAAGGTCACCAAGATATCACTAGCGTAATAGCAAACTTAATCTTTAGTATCACCGTTTTCTGTCCAGACAATAGCAGGATTGTGCAGGCCAGAGGCCTATCTCTGGCCTGATCATGGTGTAGTGGGCTTCAGGCGCCGGCACAGGCTGACTTGAGCGGATATCCGCTGCGAGCAGTGGCATGCCTCGGGCTTCAACATGTATGCAATAACCTTAATAGATGCCCGGGATCAAAGAGTACCGAACACGGTTTTTGATCTCTCGTTGGCGTCACCGTACTATATGGCGATTACTGCGTTAGAGACCATGAAAAGATTTGTTAACTAGCAAGAAACAGACTTACTCTCTCGCTCATGTACTGGTCTAACACAGGGACGCCACGAGAGGCGAAATCGTGAAAAAAGAAGGTGAAGGTCATTGCACCGAAGGCAATGCCACCGCAAGTCAAAGCATATCCAGTTCGCCAGATTGTGTAGGCTCCATAATTGATGTTAGTGGCGAGTGAGAACAGGCCACCGCCGTAGGGCTTTCCTTGGTTCTTAGGGTCCTGTTTGAACGTCTTGCGCTGGAATTCCGATATCGCTTCAAGTAGCAGGCCAAGAGAGTATGCCCCCACTCCGACAGCAATCAAAGGAACTGACAGTGTATCAAGCAGGCTGTTCGAATTGGGAACGGACGCAGCCAATGAGGTCAACGTCCAGAGCGACAGGAGGGTATTCACAGTGTTGAAAACTGTATTAAAGCAAGCAACAGCGATGCCAGAGCCCACGTCCATAGCCTGTTCAGAGAAAAAGACAATGTGCACTATCTGCTTAAGGCTGCTACCCAGAGCTAGGAGACTGACCAACATATAATAGGGTTGTAGGCCGGAGATCGCTGCACGGTAAAGTAGTTGCGATGAATGCACAGGATGACCGCCGAGCTTCTCAATCAGACGTGTACCCCAGCCCCGATAAAGCAAGTTCTATTGCCACAGCAAATCTGCCATACGGAGACACAAAAATAAGCCTTTGCCCGCGGGGGAAGGCTTCTTGACTCGGGAGACATTATTGCGTAGCTCGTTCGGTGCCATGATGAGGCTAGTCAGCTCCAAGCATGAATGGTAGATCAAAAACCAAAATGGTTCGAGGAGATGCAAGAAGCAAATATAAGTATGTAAGAGGCGTCTTAGGGAAATACGCGTCGAAGGTTCCCGTCGGCCACTAACTCGTCGTTGAAGCCCGCGGCTCGGGGCCACATGTGGCCGAGGGCCAATCTTTAGTAATCCTGGGAACTTGGGCACTTGGTTACCATAATATGAACCCGCTAATTTACAATATTACAGTCAGCCTGGAACCCATCAATAACTTCCCAGCATAAAGTCAAACTACCAACAAGTAAGTATCACTCATTCACGAAACAATTTCGCTCATTTTTGTCCGCGGAGCAAACTGCTGGCCGAGCGCAACTAGTGCCAAAGAAACTTGTCCAACGATGTGTCTGTACGTCCCGCTCCTGACGCAGCTCGCCCTACCCACCACGAGCTCTGCTTGATTCAACTGGCTTGATTCAGCAGATGTGGGTAACTGTGGCGACTGGGGGAAATGTTAGACGGAAATGTTAGACGAGAACGCTCATGCCTCGTGAGATGCTTGGTGCGCAAGGAATGAACGCTCATAATAAGTGCATTTTAGAGAGTCGCGCTGTTCAGCTCCTTTCCTACCGGTCAATAGTCTCATCGTTGGTCTGGGAGACTTTGAAGGAAGGCATTGTCGTCCCATTTACTCCTTTGTACCCTACTAAATGAGCAAGAAGTGACTGCGAATAAGGACGGCCAAATTCTTCTACGTATGCATGACGTGTGTCGAGGAGAAAAAGTTGATTAGGCTCAGCTGCATGTCACAGCTGTATGATTTCCCACTTCTGAGCGAGGCGCAAAATTTCATGTATGAACTCAAGGCTGCTACTACTGAAGCCAATATACAAACAGCTAGAGATGGAACAGCAGCTACAGTAGAGAAGGCATTCGCAAAGTAAATCTAGATTTCAACGATCTTCACCAGTCATAACGACTTAGCGTCCCTTATTCCGGCATCCATCCATCACGACTAGGTACGAAACCCTCAATACCTGGACCATATCCCTCCCAACCACGGAATTCAGTTACATATTTAATGGCTGCTTTCAAATATATATCCTCTTTCCGGCCAAATGTCTCCTCAAACACCTTTGGAGCTCGCACGACTTTGAAAAAGTGCACATCGAGTGCCCACTTGCTATCCAGCGCGGTATTAATAACCCAGTCCCAGCCCCGCCCATCTAGTGTAACTTCCTCCAAAACCTCAATTCCGAAATCCGGTCGTAGCTGCGACACATACGTCAAGATCACAAAGAGTACGTACTGCTTTAAGACGGTCGCCAGATGCTTGGGCGGGAGATAAGTCCATAGGACACGAAGTGCGTGCGCAACCGTCAGTATATGAGCGTTATAAAAATCGAAAGATCTTTCCATGTCGCCATTAATGAGTGCAATATGAACTGCTAGGTCGCAGCACTCCTCAAATTGGCGTATAGGGTCAACCACTTGCCAAGAATTCCAGTGCTTCCGTACGACGTCAAGGTGTTGCCGCTGCGTAAGAATATCAAGGTTAAGTATCCCAGGCTCCAAGAGATCCGAGTCAAAGTACGAGTCCTTCCGGACACGCTCGATCACTTCAGACAGCGAGGTGGTTTTGTACGTTGAGTTGTCCACGGATGGGTAGTCAAGTAGGGTATGTAATGGATTATATTCAGTGCACCCCTGACTGAGGGCTTGGGTTGCTACCTGCGGGCTGGCGAATTCGTATGCATATGCTAAATGTATAAAGGGGTGGCCGACTTTATATTATTCTTCGTCAGCTGTCCGGTCATATCCTGCGGTAGCCACGGTGCGTTGCAGGTAGTTGAGAAACTTACGGCCTCCAGTAAACCCATTGATCAAAGGTTCAGCGCCCGAATACAAGTATTCTTCCAGAACCTTTATCCAGGCACCCTCACGTCCCTTGACTTGACCGTCAAAGAAGTCAACATAGGCAACGGTGTACCTGCCGACATCCCACGTTAGCTGGGGCGAACAGAGGCTGTAGTAGGAGCATTCGCTTCGCTGGCATCGGCTTACTCTTTCTGAGCTAGAAAATCTCTCCAATTATCCCTAAAAATTGCGTCGCCACGGATAAAACCTCGGCCAATTGGCACCAACTGAGTAATTTCATGTTCGTAACTGCGGACTAACTGATCTTTGTCCGCACCGAGGGCATACGCGGAACCAAGGAACTGTTGTTGAATTTGTAAGTACAGTGTCCATTGCTATACGGCAATAATAGGGTATTCATGAAGTAAGAATCTGCGCATACATGTGGCAGATGGCTATGAAGAATCAATTTGGGATTTCGGAGCGGAGCCACGGTATCATGGCCTTTTGCAAGCAATTCCCCGAGCTTTTCAGTTCGGGCATCGGAGAAATTGATTACGTCGTAAACAGGTACAGGACTCAAAGTCCGAATGTTGGACGCCTTAGGGAGACGAATGGTTGACTTGATATGAATGCTGATCGAAGACATTTTAAGTTTCCTTTTCTTCAAGGGGATCGGTGTGGAAGAGTCAGATGAAAGACGGATGCTACTATTGAACTTTGAGGATTGTTTGCAAACCTGATTTATATGTCTCAAGTCTAGTCTGGTGAAAGCAAGTTACACAGTGCTCTGATACTTGCTTTCTAGTGGCAGATATATTATTACCGGTGATAATCTCCCTATCGCAAAGCAAAACGTCGGAATCAGCGGGTTCAGTACCATCACCCGAACAAGTACTCAACCTAGACTACATCTTTAGGTTTGGGGGTCATGCTATTCAGCTATATTTTTCGTCGATCAGTCGGTTGAAAATCAGCGCAAGATAAATTATTCGGCACATCGGCCGTTCGGTCTCTGAATCTATGGACTGCCTCCGGGCCTTGGTGGTAAACTGTTAGCTGGCAAGGGTGGGGAGATATTGATAGCCTCGAAATTTACCCTCACTCGAATACACCGCCAAAGTATGACGTTCGCATGAAACATAAAGCAGAGAGGATCCTGCTTGTTTTGTCTACACACTCCAACGGTTCAGGACCGATGCGGTAGATGCATTGGTCACCGAATCTGTGGGCTTGTGAGAGGGGCTTCGGTCAGCTGGAACTCGGCGCTCCGAAAGGCCGACATGTGGCATTATCAAGTGTCAGCGCATGGAGTGGTAACTTACCACTAGGAGCCTTCTGGATAGGCTTATTCATCGTTCACCCGATTCCACTTGGTAACTATTCGCATGGGATCGTAAGTATGGTGTCATAACACGTACCTCAATTATAAAACTCACTGAAATCGCTTAAACGATCTCAAGAATCAATTGATTTCTTATCCTAAATTGGTTCCGCTTGACCCATTCTCCCTGAATGCATACTAGTCTATACACTTTTAGCAAGTCCTGATATCAAGTCAGCCACGGAAGCTTGAAAAACATGCGGGTCTGTGCTAAAGCGGGCAAATCGAGCTGGGGGACACAAACTCACGCTACAACACAAAGAGATTGGGACCCTCTTTGGGCCTCGAAAATTATCCTTAGGAGTTTCCTGTAAGATTCAAGTGTGTAAACGTATATATGCATATATATAGTAGATGTAAGGAATCCCTTTGATGAGACAAAAAAGGCAGAAATTGGTTCACCTTTTGAACATCATTTATGCCATTAATACCGGGATTTCGGTCAATCCAGAAAAGGGCTGCTTGAATCATCAATGGCAAGACTCCTCGAGTCCCTTCCTCCCCAGCCGACTCAATTCTGGCCTGAGACGGAGTTCCTGCGCAAAGCTCATGATCAATGTCGTTTGTCTCACAATCAAGCGGGGTTTTATGAGCAAAATGCCATGGGAAAGGTTCTGCATGTCCTAATGCGTAAGACATTTGAAGTTCAGCACATCACGCAGTTTACTCATTGGTATTATCAGCATGGAAACGCCAGGCTCGGAAGACACATCAACCCAAACGATTTGTGCTCAAGACCTCCCTAGGGCTACCACAGACAGACTCTGACAAGCAAATATTCTATCCGAACTGGGAAATAAGGCCAGGATGAGTTTGCAAGGAGGGCAAAGACAACGACGGAAAGCAATGTCTCCCCTTCAGGCGCAGGGGTGCCTCGCGTCATCCATTCAATTAGCTGACAAGACGTTGACTGCGATAAGGGGCAAGGAGTTTGAGAAGATCTCAACCAGCAATGGGTTTACATATGTACCGGAAGAGATTGATGATTACCTATTCTGAGTGTCCATTATGCTAATTAGCGAAAGGTAGCTGTCTTCAAGTTCGATGCCCTTCTTCCCGATTTTGCCAAATTCTTTCGCCCTGGAAAGTTTGTAATTGCGCTATTGCGAAACTGGGAACCTGCTTCGATACAGAATTTTATTCAGACAGTCCGCAGCGGTGTTGAGCCTAACGACATTCGCGCCACAGTCGAACAAATCCTCTCCACCCAATCCCATCCCCAGTCCTCCGCACAACCCAACATTCTCAATCCCCAACATCTGCATCGCAGCATGGATCCAAATATGATGGTCCCGAACATGAGGAAACGTTTTTCTCCGAATTCGCAATAATAGCCTTGAATCTATCTTGTTCTATTACCTATCTTTGGAGGCGGTGGGAGCGTCCGTTGCATACCACCGGAGTGATATTTGGGTTTGCGTTTTTTGCACAGCGATCCTATACACGCATTGATCTTGCGACGCATTCGTCCTATTGGAGGATGATCGGGTGGCCGTTTGATAATAATATTTACTAGTGGCCATCGTGAGTCCTCAGTCTCCCTGTCGTGTTTTGGAAGGATTTGCACATAAAGACCAAAATACCCCTGCCTCAGTGGCTGCACGGTTGTTATCATGCAGTATTATGCTACGCTTTTCTCTCTTTGAGACGGTACATCCTTTGTCCTGCCTTGATATTGAAAGGACCTCGTAACCCAATCATCATTAGACTGCGGCACTATGCGATAGTTGGATAATCCAACTATCCGCAAATTATCGGCGGATAACGATATCAGTTCATTATTCAACTATCCGCAGTTTGCGGATCACTATAATTCTTCTTTTTTCTCTGCGGATATCGTACGATATCCAGCGGATGATAAACACAACAAACATGTCAGTATTGGGACCCGATTGGGAAGGCCAAAGTTGGGTATTTTTGCTAAATCCATACTACTTTGGCATGAATGTTTTGCACGCTATGGGCAAAGACCTGGCCGTAATTTGCTAAGCCATCCTGCGAAATCATCACTCCGATTTTCACCAGCGCGCGCTCGCCAAGCCTGTCTGTCCACAACTTTCCCATAAGTGAGTGGCCAAATTGTTTCATTCATAGAGGCTGACCGATGATCTAAATTGCCCGAGATGACTATAGCCACTGATTCCGTGATAAAAGCGCGAATTGTCGTCTGCCACGTGATGTCACGCGTCGGATCGTTTGTCGCTGCGGACGGTCGCGCCTGCCGGTCCGGACAACCCAACTCTGCAGATCTCCGCCTTGCAATATCTCCGTCCAAGCCATGAGCGGAAGAATCTCCACTACCTTGGCCAACCAGGCAGCTCAATAGGTTCCATGTTGGTACTCTTCTAGCCATAACGTGGTCAATCCCCATGATCTCCCTCGGCTCGTGTTCCCATAGCCCAGGCCTATTGTGGCACGAATGATTCTCGATGGCCTTCGCGGTCTAGTCCGTACAGCTACCGTGGAAATCGTGCTTGTCTGGGGCTGCGGGCCCATAGCAAACTCAATAAGCGAAGCGGATTGGGACGAGGCTGCGCTAGTAAACCCACAGCGGGAGATCGGAAATCCATCATGGTCCGGCCCGCCCGTGCCCCTGAGTGTCGCCCCAGGATCCATGGTTCGCATCCATTAAGCCGCAAGCTGATCCTGTCGATCAGCTGCCATACTTTGTTACCTTCAGCTGCGATTCGGAAGGAAGCTTTAAATATTAGGCCTACGAGGTGATAGACGGCGCCATGTACCTATTATGCGCAGTAATTCCGCAGCAGTATTATTTCCAATCCAAGATGGGCAGCAATTCTTCCCAATATCACACTTCCATTATTTTGAGAGCTCGTCACGTTCGACCGTTTGTCGGATATCATCCGCATTGTACCCCACAACGCCGAGGCCCATTGGCCAAAGCGCACCGGTCCAGGTATGCCAAATTCCTGTGGTGACCGTCACGAGCCTCCGGGGCGGAGAATGGGTCTGGTCGGGTCAATCCAGTAGACAAGAGACGGCCTTGTTTGGAGCTTGTCGAGGAGCAGCTTGTGTCTTTGATGGGATGGAAGGTCAAAACGACACAGGCATTGTCTTACCTGGGCCGTATGGGTGATCATGATCGCGGTCGAAGGAATTCGGATCTCGCGTATGAGCCAGGCAGGTCTTTCGGTTTGTGACAGGACCGGAACTATTGTCGGGACACTCTTCTACATCGGGCAAAGATCGGAGATCTCGCAAAGGCCACATGAAACGGCCAGCTCGGCGAAGCGCCCTGGTGGGTCGGCTCATTTCGGGAACTGTCGAGCGGAAGGAGTGGTCAAATATCACTAAGACCATTTTTTGGCCAATTCCCTGGTACGAGTGTGGTCGGGTTAGACTCGGGAGTAACACCAAGACGAACCCTCGGGGGTGTTCAACTACTCCCATCAATAATCAATCAACCATCAGATTCTATTGGACATCTTCAGTACTCATCCTGACACATAAGGTTAGAGAGTACCATTATACTCAGAATAGGCCAAAGAATCTAGAGAAATGGAAATCACTATTTACCCTGTATTCTCTATACAGTGTCTAATCTGAGAATTTTCGACTACAACACTAGCCAGTCTGGGAGTTTTCGACCACATGGATATACGGTAATACTTTTTGGGAATTTCGGACCATAAGGACGACAATCTTCAAAGTTGAATATCTTCGTCAGGAGGTGAGATAGAAATAGTCATTAGAGTAGTCTCTTGTTCCTCTATCTTCTATGAAAAGTAAGGGCTAGAATAATAGGTTTTGAACGATACCTAACAGTCCCAATTTGCCTCATAGAATCTTGAGTAAGTCGAAGCCCATCCCAACATCTTGTATCCATTGCTTCCGTCACCACTGCCCGAGCCGTCGAAGTATTCCTGTTGACTACTGAACCTAGTTCAGAGCTGATTGTTGAGGCTGACTGACATCATGGCTGATGACTGCAAAATGCTAATGGTATGGCGTCCGTGGAACGTTCGTCGGTTGCTGCCTGGATTCTTGCTGCCGCTCACGTCCGCACGATGCACATTGTTGAGGATTTTGAGATGGCTCGTTCGAGTCTCTGATAGACCTTAGTTGATCATTCTCGACTTGACCATAGTGTCTTGGGAGTACCGACTTACTTAAAAAGCTTCTTCGCGACGAAGTAGCCAACAGTGCCGAACAGACCGATCTTGAGAAGCGCCATCCCTCTTCTGGGTCCGTATGCTCGCAACGGAAAGTTGGCTCGAGCAAAGACTTGTCTGGCATGCAATCGACTGGATCGGCGAGTAGGATAGTCCATGATTCGTTGTTGAATGATTCCTTAAACCCCCGCAGGTGGACGACGAATGTTTATAGGTAGAAACATCCAAGCCGAGTTCGGAACTCCGAGGCCGATCGGGGTCGGCTTTCCTTTCGAATAGCTCGGCCGCGGACTCGGCCTCGGGTGTGCCGCAGCGCCTTTGCGTACATCACCAACGAACAGCATCGGACATCCGATCTTTTACTCGACGTCGGGCATTGCTAGCGACAGCATGTATGTCCGACCTCCTTTCGTACGCAGAACTTGGCCTCGTGCCAAAGGTATATAGCGCTGGCCATATCCTTTAGAATCGGACTCATTATTCCAATCGTCTTCACAAGCACAACTATTTTTTGCGCGCCCTATCAGGCCTTCCACAGCAATTATGCACGATGACCGCACCGCTGAGCTCGAGAAGGGCAGTTCAATCTCTTCAAGACCATCGAGTCCAGCGGAGCCCAAGCCTCAAGCAGCTGGCCCACCAGCAGCACCTGAAGGAGGCACAAAAGCCTTTCTATCGCTACTCGGAGGCTCCTTGGGTCTTTTTATCTCATTTGGATGGGTCAATTGCATTGCTGTGTTCCAAGCTGAATATGAGACCAACCAGTTGAAGACATATAGCAGCTCGGAGGTGTCCTGGATTACTTCGTCCGAATGTGAGAGCCTTCTTCCCCAACCGGCCGTGAAACAGCAATCTCATTTCAATCTAGTTTTCTTCATGCTGTTCATGTCACCGTTGTCTGGATATCTATTCGACAACTATGGACCACGATTGCCGATCTGTATCGGTGGATTGATGCACGTGTTTGGCCTCATGATGGCCAGCTTGTCAAGCAAATACTATCAATTCTACTTGGCACAGTCAATTTGCTCAGGAATCGGCACATCGCTCATGTTCACTCCGGCAATGACTTCGGTTTGTTTGATCATTCTTAGAACTTATCGCGAATTTTCTGACAGGATTCACAGCCTATGACTTACTTCAGAAAGCGCCGCGCTTTGGCAGGTGGGTTGACCGTTGCAGGCTCGAGTCTGGGTGGTGTAATCTTTCCCCTCATGGTCAACAACCTCCTTCCGGAGGTCGGCTTTGCATGGACGATGCGAATCTGCGCTTTCTTGATCCTTGGGCTCTGGGCTATTGTCATGCTCACCATCTCCTCCAACTTGCCTCGCACTCGCAAGGAGTTCAACCTTGCGAACTACCTTCGGCCTTTCACGGAATTTAACTTCTTGATCTTGTTGACGTTCTGCTTTTTCCTTTACTGTGAGCCGCCTATCGTTATGTTTCATCGCAACACAGCTAACCAGGTTTAGGGGGATTGTTTATCCCTTTCAACTACCTTGTCCTGTCTGCTATGCATAACGGAATGTCAATGACTATGGCCTACAATCTTATTCCCATCATGAATGGAGCGAGCTTTTTTGGACGTACGATTCCCAATGGCCTTGCCGACAAGTACGGCCGTTTCAATGTGCTTATCATCATGCTCCTTTTCACTGGTGTCATCACTCTGGCCTTGTGGTTACCTGGTCGCAGTAACGCGGCCAACATTGTCTTCGCCGCTTTGTTTGGTATCGGATCTGGCACCACCATTGGCTTGACGCCGCCCCTTGTGATGACTCTCTATCCACCTCAGGAGATCGGGTTTCGAATCGGGTTGGCTCTTGCTATTGCAGGCATTGGTACCCTTACGAGCCCTCCGATTGCTGGTGCAATTGCAGAGGCAAATGGAGGCTCTTTCCGCTTTGCGGCCTTGTTCAGTGGTGTGAACTTCATGGTCGCGACAATCTTTTTGGTGTGGCTGAGGGGTAGAGTTTCTGGTTGGAATCCCCTCACAAAAGCTTGATGCCTAGGCAAGAGCAATGAGCGCAGCAGCCTGTTGCAATTACAAAATCTGGCGAATAAGAGGAGACTGGTGTGGAGGCAGAGAAACATAAACCGGCACACGCGTGACATGAACACGATCTTGTGGCGGCATGGCAGAATCCCTTCTGTGTAAATACAGAGATTTTAGTCTTACATTTGGATCAATCTCTGTAGACGAACAGACGATCCATTAACATCATTACCTCTTCGATACGTGCTTGTTAAAATACTTCATAGATCATTTCTACATATGTTAAGTACTTAAAGATACCTCATAATTTGATCTAGCTGATTCTCTCTAGTTATTGGTAAGAATAAGACAGTAAATATCTAAGACGCTAATCGTACCAAGTAGAATATATAGACATCTACAACGCATACATAGACAATACTATAATCAGAATCGATATATATAATATTAGTAATAAGTAACTAATGTAAGATGGGAATGCTCGTAGGCTATCTGCGTTGGCAGACGGGTCGATCGTGAAGAGACAAAACCACCACACTCTTAGAGTGCAGGAAGATGATAGGCAAAGCGTGACGCTATAGAGGATTGACAGAACGAATAACAGGACCTTTCATAAGCAGTATACCGATACCACAACCTCAGTAACCTCAGTAGAACATTTTCATAAGGGGGAACATGCATGTTCAATTGATAATCTAGAACGAACGCTACTTATTCTCCTGAAACAAAACAGAAGCCTTGTTGCTAAGGCCTTTGTCACCTGACCCTAGGATACCGATGTTGAGAGCGGAAATCCCCTGTGAGTTCTGCTATGTATTCCGGTGGCCCATGTGCTCAAAGAGACAATAGGACTCCTTGAAAGCTAACTCCAACAACGATAGGCATCGAGCCGTGGCCTTGACCCATTTCAAGTCAAAGGATCTCGAGCGACTCCATTGCCAGGGACGATCTTGGCATACCTTTTTTCCCACGGACCCTACAACCAATAACGGCTCTGTCGGGCGCCATCATCGCGCAAGACGGAAAGCAGACCTGGACAGTCCACGATTATTTAGGCTTTGACTACAATGCAGACGATGTGACCGCCGAGAAGACAGTCGCTCGAGTGCTTGGCGGTATGGGCTCACCCTACCCGATTTCTATTGATGAAGTCCCTGCAACCTCCATCTTTACGCCGACAGTAGCTCTCGCCGAAACGTGGAGCGGAAATTATCAGCGCGTCTTCCTTGCCGGAGATGCTTGTCATCAGACAATCCCTTCGGGCGGCTACGGAATGAATATGGGCCTTGCTGATGCTTGGGATCTTGGCTGGAAGCTCTCAGCCACTGTTCAAGGCTGGGGTAGCACTCATTTGATGAAGACATACGAACAGGAACGTCGTCCTGTGGCAGCGCTGATGCAACACTGGAGCAAAATTCACATGATGAAACTCATCGGGCTTTCAACAGCTGTGAAATTGGATCCGGTCGTCATCGAATCCATGGATGAGCGCGGCATAGCCCTGCGTGAGGAAATCGATCAGTACATTCAGCAAAACGATGACCATAAGCAGAGCTTCGGCGTTGAAATGGGTCACCGCTATGAGTCGAGTCTGGCAGTACTGAACGAGCAGGTGGATGTTGAAAAGGCAGCACCACAGTTCGACTCACGCAACAACATCCCAACTACCTTTCCTGGTTCGCGGGTACCGCACGTGGCTTTGTCGGACGGCAGCGCCATTTCCGATGGATTCGGGAAAGGCTTCACCATGGTCGCGTTTCTGCAGAAAGAAGCAGTAACAGCCGGAGACCAATTTCAGTTGCCCATCGCACTGGCCAGTTTTGAAGAAGCAGCACGCCAGCACAGGATTCCTCTAAAAAGCCTTTGTTTGATGAATGAGACTCATGCGTTCCGAATTTGGGATGCTTGTCTTGTCCTCGTGCGGCCTGATGGATTTTCAGCGTGGCGCTCAGATAGTCTGGACAAGGTGCACAATGCATCGCAAGTGTTGCTTCAAGCAACAGGTCATACCTCACCTTTGTAAGCAAACCCTTCCGAGATAGAGACGATCGAACATAGAACAGAATGGAAAGAGTGAACCTCAATAAATCACGATCTTCATTTCCCAACGTAAATTGTCCTGTGAACTTGCTCTATCAAATAGTTGGAACCAAGAAGGCCGAAAAGTCCAGGTAGTTGGAGTCCTGACTTCAGTCAGTAGTGCTATGTAAGAGGCGCATATTTGGTAATTTGTACTCACCATTGCGCCAAAATCCAGGCCGTCAAGAAGCCCATTATCCATCACGTCTTGCAACACTTCTTGGGGAGTGTTGGCGGCCCTGTAGGACTGTAGTACATCGTAACACTCCTTCAGGCTGTCTTTTGCAGTGTTTAGCACAGCAGACAAAATGGGTTGGCCGCGTTCCATGGCGTATATCTGGGAAAGAATGCCAGCAAGAAAAATGTAGCGTTTCAATGTAGGATGGCCCAACTTTACGATCTGCAGTAATTGTTCGTTGATGTGTTCCAAAAGTCGAATGATGGGCGCTCGCTGGCCGCGCGCCAGTTCAGCGAGAGGATCAAAGACCAATGTGTGGTTGAGACCAATCGAAGCAGAGGACGGACCGGACCCCGTTTCCTCCAGCTGAGACACAACCTCCAAGCCCAAGACTGAAATTACGTCCAGGCTCAAAGGTCCGCGAAATGACCCTGTGCTCATCACCATCAACTTGGACAGATCGTCAAGAGAGTCTGCAGGTAGCCGAAGTCGCTCGGCATAAGTGGCGATAATCATTGCAGACTCCTGACAAACCCTCCGGGAAAAATAGAAGCGGGGATCCTTTTGCGCTTGTAGCATGAAAGGCCGATGCAGTACCAGAATATACCGACGAATCTGCATATCAAGGAAAGCGTGATGCATGCTTAGGAATTGCGACCAATGCGACCGACAATAACTTGCAAGAGTACGGCAAACTGTCTGAAGTTTCGTAGCTAGCTCAATGGCCATTTCGTATGAGTGCTCTAATCGCTCGTTTTGGACCGCCCTGACAACTTCAAGTCGTATCGGCAGGGACTGACGCATGAGAATTTGTATCGACGATTCCGTATAGCTTGTTAACGGTTGTGGAGATGGAGACTGTTTGCTGGCTGAATCTAAATCAGCATCGCTGACATTAAGAGGCATATGATCGTCAAAGTCGTTTGAAGAAAGAAGCAAAGGAATTGAACAGTCCATGGAACCATGGATTACGAGCTCTAGGACTGTTGTCCAAAGCCTCTTTCGTATATCGGCTTGAAAAGGAGACAGAGAAAACAGTTGTGGATCTCGGTGCAGACCCATAGCCATAGCCACCCGAAGTAGACCACTTTCCGACAGCCACGGTGAACGGCCGACTAATGTTATCTGCCGCGAAACCAATAGAAGACAGAAAATTTGAATTCCATCAAGATTGTTGGTAGTTTTCTCTGACGGTCCAACCATCCAGTATTGAGCAGCTTGTATCCAAGTGCGCCGCGAGCGCTGTAGAACTTTGTCGTCGCCGTTGCTGAAGACGCTTCCAATGGCCAACACCAGAGCCAACTTGATTGCAAAGTTTGTAACTACAGGCTGCGGCTGGCTGAAGTATTGTTCGTATTCTGCCCAGAATGTGGGAATGTGAAAACAACGATAGATCAACTCGAAAGTCCGCATGTAGTGATTCACTAGTCGGTCACAGATGGAACGAGCCGGCATTGTACTCAGAAGTTGAGGAACGGGGTCATCCATCTGCGGTGCCTGCTCATTTTTCATCGTGAGTCGCAAGTTGCGTATCTCATTCACCGAATCGGCCAGCTCAGCCTTGGTATCCACGAAGGTCAATTCAACGTCACTGTCTCCAACATGGCTGACTCTGAACTATTGACACGTCAGCCAATGTTCAATCAGTCACGATTTTGATTAGAAAGGAGCTTCAACGATACCTTCTCAGCAGTGTGCAGCCAGTGGCTTGAAGGAAACAGTTTTACCTTCTTCTGGTTGTGACGAAGTCGAGGGATGACAGACGGAATTGTTAGAGATTTATCGCCCGTGACAGCTGAAGGCGCAGGACGAGCTTGGGAGAGCTCAGCAAGCCGCTGCTCGACGTGTTGGAGGCGATCAGACAATGCCAGCAGCGTGAGATGATTGTTGCTGCTGCTGCTGCTGAGGCTGTGCTGCTGGGGATCGACTTCTGGTACAACCGAGTGCTCAAGCTTCTGTACACGTCGCTCTACGCTCCTAATTCGCTCCGATTCGTTCGTTGTTCGTTGCCTCTTTGTAGGGTGATCGATGTTGTTGTTTGGGGCAATGCTGAGCGAGCGGGGAACTTGTTGTTGGACAGCATTGTCTTCGCTTCCACGGTCTTCCACGACGAGACTGGGTTGCTGCTGATCTCCTTGATATATGCACGTCACCGAGTTTCTGGAGACTTGACAGGCTGAACATGGCAATTTGAGATCGCAACGTACTTTTCGGCGGCGGCACGGGTCGCAGGATTGCGCAGGTCGGCGGCTCCGACGAGCGGGTGATGATGCTGACCGGGTACTGCCAAAGCTCTGGTCCTCGGCCATCTTGACGACAGTCCAAATTGCAGGTATTTAATGCGCGATCAACGGACATCAATGACGTTGGAAAGGTCGGAGGGAAAGCTCGGGGTCGGCAAGCTGCTGAAGTGAGGTGCTGTTCCATCTTGCTCTCGGACTCCGGCCGGGGTCCGGGCTCAGGATCGGACATAAAGCCGACTCCTTGAAACGTTCGCTACCCACCGACCAATTCAACCTCCTCAGTACAGGTATTTTCATACAGCCCTTATTGGTGTCAAGAGCTAGGCTACGAATCCCTTGCCGATCATTGATGACACAATGTCGTTGCTTTCGATCGTCGGACATGGCCTTCGCTCCTAGGCGTCAATGCATCGTCTCCTTCGTTCGATTTCCAAGTTGTGCTGGTCCGTTGCAGGAATTTAGAAACGAGTGAAACGCGGATATATGAACAATAAAGAGTTGCAAGACATGGATCAGTTTGGCATCTAAAAGTCAAGCTAATGTTCTAAAGTTTCAGCTAACGTAATTCCCATGTCGATCGTCGTTCATCGATACTAATTCCCTTCGCATGCTTTGTGGAGGGCAACCAAAACACCAGTCTTGTTACTTGGTCCAATCCGCATAATAACATGATACGGATTCGCATCTCTGGACTCGATTCGCTCGGAGCGCATTACCAAACGAGCCAACATGTATGCACCCTCCGTCATGACCATCATCTGCGCTGGGCACCTTCTAGGACCACCGCTGAAAGGCACGAACTCCCAGAAGGGCTTCAGCTCAAGGAAGCGCTCAGGACGAAAATCGTATGCGTCTTCACCCCAGTATTCCCGATTGCGCTGCTGTACTGTCTTGGTGACTTGGACCATGTCACCTTTGCGGATGAAGATGGGGTGCTGTCCGTCTTTGCCTCCGCCACGTGGGAGGGTCGTGTCTTTCATGCAGATACGAACTTGGGTGACGTTGTTTGGGTTTAGTCGCAGAGTCTCATGAAGACAAGCATTGAGAAACTTCATGCCTCTGAGAGTGGAGAAGCTGAGTTGACCAACCGCTTCGTCCTCCCTCCCTTGAACTGATGTCAGTACCTCCTCACGACATCTTGCCCACGCATCCGGGTGACGATCCAAGTGCCAGAGGGCATTACTGATGAAGATCAAAGTCGTGTCGTTGTTCGGGACCAGCAGCAGGGCCAATTGAGACCGCAGGTCTTCGTAGTCGGAGTCGTATGATGCCATGTACCATAGAAGGTCTTCCCGCTCAGGGCCTACTTTCTCTCCAGCAGCGATTCGTGCCTTGTGGGTTTCGATTTCTTTGTAAGTCGCTGTGATATGTGTGTCGACAAAGGCATGAACCTCGTATACTGCCTTGAGCCACCAGTCCCAGTTATACCACTTGATCATGCGAACGACCTGCATACGCTGGCGACTGCCACGAAGAACATCCAGCATGGCCCATGTGATTTTGGCCTTGGATGGATGATTGAGGGCACCCATAGGCTCGCCAAGGATGAAATCAGTGGTCAAATCCAGGAACTATGTTCGTATGAGCATTGTAATGAAACGTTCAAATTGCTTTATTTGCAAGCGCGACTTACCCATCGCTGGAGCAGGGGCTGGATGTTGAATGCCTCTCCATCCGGTGGCAGTAGAGACAATAACGAGTCCACATAGGGCCTGATCCGATCAGTGTTCGTATAAACATCGCGATTGAAGAACGGCTTGATGAGGAAACGGCTGAACACCCAGTCGTCCCCGTCAACGGTGTTGACACCTTTGTCTGCGAACGGGTGGAAAGCTTTCGTACTGCGTCGGAGAGGACTGATGCCAAAACCCTTCCAGTTGACCGCTGTCATAGCCTTAAGGTTCTCCGTCTCGGTGGTGTAGATTTGGCGTTTTCCGAGGAAACGGACCTTGAATGTGCTCGGTTGGCCTTTATGCATAGCTGCCAGCCATGGGATGAAAGTGTCTCCACGGAGGGCCTTCATTTGGCTCAAGGCGAGATCGAGGCCGAAAATGCGATCCCATTGAGGATAGGATGGGATAAGGCCGCAGCCATGGGCTTTGCGTCCTTGGTGTTCTTTGAATCGCCTCCACAGTATATTGAGGAATATGGCCAGTAACCCAGAGGCGACGGCCAGAGTCCAACTGTTGTCGACGATTATCATCGTGTGGGCAGGTTTGTTAATTATAAAAACGGTCGCCAGAAACTTTTGAGAAATGAATTCCACATCTTTGATGCGATGAACCCAGACGCATTTAAAGCATAAAGGCGCAAAAGACCTCGTTAGAAGACTCGGAGGTCTCTTTCGATGAAGTGAGTACAGCTCCGTGAGGTACTCATGGTCAATATTATCCCCGATACTCCACTCTCGAATCTCGGACTTAAATTCGGGCCTTAATGCAACCATAGCTGAATGTAATATCTACCGGGCTGCTCGGATAAATATCTGTATCTATGTAGTATTTATGATATACTAGCAATAAG